TCTTCAGGGGAACAGAAAAAACCTCAGTGGTTTAAACCGAGATTAAACAAGAATTCTGGTGAGAGTTGCGGGAGAATTAGTCTAACAAGCCGTGGAGTTGGAAGAGGGGACTAAAAATGTCAGGCTGTGACAGATGGGGCGATGGCTAGCCTGATATGGTTATGCACTACAAGTGGAGTCCTCTGAATAATTTAAAAATTTCAGGAGACCCCTCATGCGCATTATGCTGAAGTAATTATAAAAAATGACCTTTCTACTGCAGTGGTCATTTCCTAGCCCAAAATACATGACAAAACCACTGGTGTGTAAAATACAAATAAATAGTACGGCTCGTCATTTACCAAATTTGATGAAGGAGCATCTCAGGAAGTTATCTCTTGAGTTTTTTGTGAAAAAGCACAAAATTAGCTGTCACTTTTTTGTAAGCCTAGCAGAAGATTGATCGTTAATCCAATACAGAAAAAAATGAGTTTTTTGAGGAATATGACATTGAATTAGCCGAGTGGATCTGTTGTGCAATTTCAATAAAAGGGTCTCTAATAGAAAAGATGCAGAGAGATAGTAATCCAGCGTGGCAAGTTCCTCAGTCTTTTTTATGGATAGGAAAAAAGGGATATTTTTCTTCAATAAATTTTAGAAATGGAAAACAAACATGGCCAGTTAATGTTGTTTGTTGAGAATGTCCTCTGTGAGTCACTGTGTGAACAATCAATAAATCAGTTCAAGAGGGCCAAGAAAAAATATTTTAAATCTATACACATTTTGAAATAAAATGGTAATTTGAGTTTTGACTTCAAGCAGGTCTTAAGGATAAATAACACAAACAAACTTTTTTTCAGAAATCAGCATTATTTCTCATATATTTACATTTAAATTGACAATCTGAATAATGTTTACCAAGTAGAGTGGGAGAATTTTATAAGATTTTGTCATGAAGTTAAAATATTGTGCAAAATTTTGTATGGAATTATACAGAAGGCAAAATAAAATCTCAAATCTAAGTACCAAGGAAAACCTACGATTTCTTTATATTTCAGGGATTTATTGTTTATATCAATACAAATCAAAATCAGTCAAAAAATATATATCAACCCGCGCATCCATTTTTTGTTTGTGGTAAGTACCCTTAACACTAGCTGTCACTTTGTTCTTCAATAATTGGCAGGAATATATATAAAAAGCTACATTTCACTGTCCAGAAAATACCAGTCTTTAAATTGTCTCTTTATGACTAGCCTACAAGTTGGACATGGAGTTTTGGACCAGAATTGAACTAAATTTAAAAAAAACTTAAAGACGAGTACCAGGTATATATGGTATTCATCCTTAATTTTACAGTAAAACTTCATTATCTTGAAAATTGATATCTCGAAACCATGAATATATTGGATGAGACCCAACCACTTTTTTGTGGTCAGAAGACCTAGCTATTGCTATCTGTTTTCCTCCATCATTGTAATAAACTTATGAACATTTTAATCTTCTCTAGAACTGTTCAACCAAATTAATTATACCCCCCCTCCGAAGGAGAGGGGGGTATACTGTTTTACCCTTGTGTGTCTGTCTGTCCGTCTGTCTGTCCGTAACAAATTTTCGTCACAGTTTTCTCCGCAACTACTCGTCACAGAGGCTTGAAATTTTAACACAATTTTCTCTTAGGTATGCCATGCAGTGGGATACATTTTTGGTCAAATCCGATGTCCACTTCCTGTTTGTCTGTGCATCTGTCCTTTTCATACATAACAAATTTTCATCACAGTTTTCCCAGCAACTACTCATCACAGATGCTTGAAATTTTAATTCAATCATCTCTGAGGCATGCCATAAGGTGGGATACATTTTTGGTCAAATCCGATGTCAACTTCCTGTTTGTCTGTGCGTCTGTGTGTCATACATAAGAAATTTTCGTCGCAGTTTTCTCAGCAACTAATCATAACTGATGCTTGAAATTTTAGTACACTCTTTGTTGAGGCATGCCATATAGTGGGATTAATTTTATTATGAATCTGATGTCAATTTCATATTTCTCTGTGCATTTGTCCGTAATCGAACTGTAATGTGTATATTAACATGATAGTTTTTGTCCACATCAGAGCGGGGGTATTCCTAGTGAGCATTGACTCACAGATTTCTTGTTCAACTAATTTTTGCAAATATCCTGGTAACATCTATGAGTAAACAGGATCAAAGAATAACTATCTTCAACTTTCCAGGAAAGCATCACTTTTCTGAGAACTGGCAAATGGGAAAGGTCACTCAATTTTTTTTTTTTGTTTTTTTTTTTGTTTTTTTTTTTTGTTAAACCCCTGTCACACCAGGGCTGCCTCCTCATGGCGACTGCACGGCATCCTAAAAAAATGCAAAACGCTGAGGTGATCGCAGTAGAGTCTCCTACAGCGCCGTGACAATGCGGCGAGATCTCCATTGAACGCCGTAGGGTCTCCTAGAACGCCAGAGGACGGCGATCACTTTTGGCATGCACAAAGTACGTTCCGTGTGATCGCGGTCTGATAAGAACGCAGTAGAAACGTAGTATGATCACCTTAGCAGCGCGGTGAGATCTCCAACAACGTAGTGGGAGCTCCGTACGAACGCCGTGAAGACGCACATGATCGCGGCACGAACGCAGTGATAGTAGACTGCGCTTCCAGGGAGACCTCACGGAGATCTCGCTGAGTCCTTGGAGATGTCACTGCGTTTCTATCGCGTTTTTACGGCGCTTCTAATGAGATTTATCGTCTTGTGATTTTTTTGACTGCGATTACACTGCGAAAGCACGGCGTTGTCACTGCGATCATTGCGCTCCCATGGCGTTTCTACAGCGTCCGTTGGCGATCACAATGCGCTTTCATGGCGTTGTTAGAGCGTTGTCAGCCAGCTCACAAAACAAGAGCAATGGGATCATAATTCCAACGTATTTGTTGCACTAGGAGCATTATTTTAAGTAAAACATGGAAGAAAAATTACCACAGAACTTGTTTTGTTGTTTCACTCAAATTTTGTAGAAAACTTTTCAGTGTGTTTATTTTCTTTTACATTCATAATAAAATCAAAGAAATTTAACAACACATATGAACCGATAAAATTGAAAAAAAGGACTTTAATCATAAAACTTTTAATAATTCAGTACTAAATTATTTAAATAGAACATTTTTAATTATCAAGAATTTTTCTTGGCATGATTAAAAATCTTTTTATGTAACTTGAATCTAAAACAAAAATATTTAACATTCCTTCTGAATATATATATCAATAAGTATAGATCGCATTGTGAACGTATTGTGAACGCAGCCAGCGCAGTGAGAACGCCGTGAACACGAGGTGAAAACTCCTAAGGCGCCGTGAAAACTCCGTGGGAGCGCTGTCAATCGCCGAGAGATCTCTGTGGGAACGCAGTAGAACGCCGTGAGATCACCGTAGAATCGCGTCCGTCGCCGTAGGGACGCCGTGACATCTTCACATTGTGAAAATTTTACAGAAATTTGTGCAGTTTTCCTGCGATTCCATGGCGATTTTAAAAATTTAACAACGCCGTAATGACTCCGTGTGAACGCAACTTGGTGTGACATGGCCTTTATGAGAGTCAAGTGTGAGTCTGTGTAGAACTTAGAGGTTAACCATGATTTCATTCAACTGTTTATTATTACCTACATGTCTAATGTATTATAATTGCATTTCATTACATAACAAATAAATCATGGTTATGTCTGCCCAAACTTAACACTGTGTTGTCTTACTTTATGTCATGTCTGCAGTTCCTAAGTTTTAGGTTAAGGAAATTAATTGAATTTCATGGTCATTGTCTAAGGGACAAGGTCGGGGCTAAAGCCACCAAAATTAATGTAATCTTTAAAGAGCTTCTTCTTTACTCTTGAACACCAAACAGTCAAACTGTAATGATTGTAATAAAGATGAAGTATGTCCTCTATCATAATTTTCAAATTCTTGGTCCATGATCTGGAGGTGTGATGTTAGAGTGTAGTTCAATAAATCGTATTTTTAAAATGCATGAATTGTTAAAAAAAATCCTCATCCCCCCTCCCTGAGTTCCCCTTATCTATGATCACCCTACTTCTCTTGTTAATAATTTTCAGTTTATTTTTGTGATATTATGTTATTGATTCCTAACATAATTGTATTAAACCCAGGTGACTCTTACGGCCCTTTGGCCTTTGTATGTTCTCATAAATAACTTAAAACTAAATACTTTAGCATTGTTTATTTTTTTTAGAGTACTATTCAGCAAAAAAAATTTATTGTGCTGAAAAATTTAACTTGGCAGATAAAAGGAACCCTTTGTTAGTTTTTTCTCCATAAGCTTTTGACCTTTCATACTCTGGTCCAGAGCGGCAATAACAAATATTGGCCTGGTTGTATAGCAGACCATTAAAGGAGACCAATGTCATCTTAGGAATCTAGCATTTCTTCTCCTATAGCAATTCCAAGGGATAGCAATGACCATCAAAATTGATCTCACAGAATTTATAGTGTCGACTTAAGAATTGAAATATTCATAGAGACTGGGCACTCTAGTATTTTGATACATTCATAAAAGCAATTTTTCCGTGAACTATAGCAATTCCCATTAATGGGCAGAAATCAGAAAATGACTAGATATTGTAGATTTATTCATGATGTGACAACAGAAATTAATCGCTTATTTCTGAAGATGAGCAATAAGCAGTCGAGAGAGCAATCTTCAGTCATAACCTATTCAATCCCATAATTCTATCCAATGCAAATTACTGACAATGGCTTAACATTGGAAATATGGAAATTTTATTTCTGTGACTTATTTGTCTTCATTGCATTATAGCTGAAATCTCATTTACAGTTGCAATAAAAAAGAGAAAATTGAAAAATAATAAAATTTGGAGTTTAATGCATGGTCTTTATTGTTTTGTATTTCTAGACTTAATGACAAAAATATATGTGAAAGTAATTTTCTTTTTGACCTTCATATGACCCACACACTGATAATATTCTATTTTATGTTTCAGATAACAATGAAATATATTCCTGGGGAAATGGAAACAGTGGACAGTATGTATACATTATTCTTTTTTCACTCAGAGAAAATATTCATGTTCAGTTTCAAATACTGTAAATCACTTTATTCGCAAGAACTTCATTTTCATGTAATTATACTACATGTATAATCTCTCTGCTAGCGAAAATTTTCTTCTCATGTAGAACTGTATTATAAAGGCCGGATTATATATACATACAGAAACCAGTCAGCTGGCAGAGTTTTTCACTAATAAATACCAAATAGCTTACTCGCGAAAATAAGGTGTCACAAAAAAATACAGTGATCATCAGTAGTACATGTTTCTCTGTAGTGATATAGAGTGTTTATGTATGTATGTACATGTTTATTTATTAATCTCGTGTTTTTAGCTCACCTGAGCCTTCAAGTGAGCTTTTCTGATCACATTGTGTCCTTCGTCCGTCCGTCTGTCCGTCTGTAAACTTTTCACATTTTCGACTTCTTCTCAAGAACCACAGGGCCAATTTTGGCCAAACTTGGTACAAAGCATCCTTGGGTGAAAGGGAATTTGAATTGTTAAAATAAAGGGCCAAATCCCTTCACAAGGGGAGATAATCAAGAAAAGACAAAAATAGGGTGGGGTCATTAAAAAATCTTCTTCTCAAGAACCACTGGGCCAGAAAAGCTGAAACTTATGTGAAAGCATCCTGAGGTACTGTAGATTCTAAATTGTTAAAATCATGACCCCCAGGGATAGGGCGGGGCCACAATGGATAATCAAAGTTTTACATAGCAATATATAGGAAAAATATTTAAAAATCTTCTTCTCAAGAACCACTGGGCCAGAAAAGCTGAAACTTATGTGGAATCATCCTCAGGTAGTGTATATTCTAAATTAATCCAATCATGACCCCTGGGGGTAGGGCGGGGCCACAATGGGAAATCAAAGTATTACATAGAAATATATAGGAAAAATTTTTGAAAATCTTCTTCTCAAGAACCACAGGGCCATAAAAGCTGAAACTTATGTGGAAGCATCCTGGGGTAGTGTAGATTTCAAATTGTCTAAATTATGATCAGTGGGGTAGGGTGGGGTCACAATATGTATTACAAGGGGGAAATCTAGTAAAGAACAGAATGGTCAAAGCTTCTCAGGTGAGCGATGTGGCCCATGGGCCTCTTGTTAGTTGATACTACCTGAAATTTAGACCAATGCTGTAATCATGGGTAAATGTTTGAATTATCAATTGCCGATTTGCTATCAACATTAACACAATCTCTCACTTCAAGTCAATTTAATGAAACTTCTATTTTTTAAAAATCTTGCATCTATAGCTAACTGCATGACAGCTTATTAATTATAATAAATTCAAATCTTCCTCTCAAGAACCACAGGGCCAGAAAAGATTTAATTCATGTGGAAGCATCCAAAGGTAGTGTAGAATGACTCTGGGGGTAGCATGTGGCCCCAAAGGGCAATTGAAATGTATAGGTTTTTTAACTTTGAATTATTAATTTGATGACCATTGGAAATGAAAAGGAAATATCCTTATGTTAGTCAAATTTCTGTATCTGATGGCATTTGAAATGAGAGTCAAGACTTCTGAACCTTTCTGCTAGTCTGAAATTGCCTAGTATTAAATGCAATATGATTTGGAGACCTAATCATTACATCTCATAATTAAATGCCAAGAAAAACAAAGGAAAATGCAAAAAGTCCCTGATAAAAAATTGCGAGAGACGGTACTGTCCTGATTTTCCAAGACGAGGTAATTACAGGATTCCCCTACCAGACTAGTGACTGACAAAACATTATCTAGTTATTAACCCCGGGGCAGTACCGAGGCAAAAGAGGTTGTCGCCTGGTGACAAAGGATCAAAAATCATATTTGTAACAGCTAGGCAATGGAAAGGATGTGACATTCCAAGAAAAAAAAAATACCATGATAGATATTCAACCATGGGTCCTCATCAGAGTTAAGTTTTGTAAAAGGAATTGCATGTGTACACCTCTCTTTAGGTCCTCTGTAATTAAAATGGAATTGATGACTGAAAAAAAGGTTGGAAAAGAATAAGAAAGAAAGCCTTCATTCCATGTCTTAATTGTAATTTCACAACTTGATCATACTGCGGGTGTTTGAAGATGTCAGTTTAGATCATGCATTAATTCAGTTTGTGTGAGCAGAGGTCTTTTCAGAGTGTTGCATGGATGTCTTGGGGGTTACAATGCCGTGCCATGTGGTTGAAGCCTCCATCACACCCTTTGTAATGATGGTGTCTTCTAAAGATTCTCTAATCTTTTCTATTGCAGATTAAAACACAACTTTTGACACTAAAGTTCATACATTTTTAACAGTGACAAATGTGATCTCTGAGGTTTTGAAAGTCCAGAATAGTTCTGTCTCGAGTTGGTTACACTTGTATACAAGCATTGCAGAGACAAGATGAAGAAACTGTAGCTCTTAATGTAATAGAGCCAACAAATTTCATTCACCAATGATTAGCTGTGTTTTATTACCTGGCTTAGTGCTGCGATTCCTTCTTCTTGTTCATAACATGTGAATATATGAGGGGCTTAAAATGTTATAAGCTTAATTTGTTATATCTGTTAGCTTCACAATATGTTTAAACCCAAGGGGAATAAAAATCCCTGCTATAAGTGTCAATTCATTATAAGCATGTTTTACTATATTGTGATGTACAATTCTATGATGTTTCTGATTACCTGCTTTTCCAGGGTCTATTCTCCTAGTTTATGCCTAAGATGGCATCAAATGCAGGTACTACTGTATGTTCATAAATAATTACAGTACAATTACATTTTTTGTTCTTTGACTTTTCATCTCAACAGATTATCGAGGTAATTACTAAATACTCTGACTAATTGGATAGCAAACTTCTTCAATGCCATTTTATTACACCAAAGCACACAAATCCAATAGTCCATGCTAGTACAGTGTATAATGGGGAAAATATGTCCCATAAACCGTGTTTGTTAGTTAGCCATTTTCTCAAACTCTTTAATTTTTATATTTTTATAAATATAACCTTATAAAAAATAATTTATATTTATTCATGTGATCAGGAGTCATTACCTTATGTACTAAAAGAAACATAACTATAGTTAGGTACTTAAGGTTTATTATGAGCAATTCATCTTGCTTGTTCAAGAAATGTTAATTTGTTCTGACAATTATATTCCTTATCAAAAACCATATATAAAAAGGTCACATATTTTGTGACAGCATTGTATTATTGAGGATCATATAAATAGTTGTTAGTTAAATGTATTAAAACTATTTGTAAATCCAGAGACATTGGAAGATATTATTGATCAAATCCATATTCTGTACCGCTAATTCAATTTATAACTGAGGGTTATAAATGTCACCAAGTTCATAGAAATGTATCCATTAAACAAAAAATGTGCACAAATTTATGAGTGTCTCCACACGAATCCTGTTCTATTGCATGATTGAGGGGGGTCTCGGGGGACCGCCAGTGTCTAACCCGGCTTTTTCAGGTCGGCCCACTAACGCAATCTTGGTGACAGCAAATGACACAGGAGGCTAATTCCTGCTGTACAGAGGCCTAAGTAACACCAGCTTCCCTTACATGTGGAGGTGATAGCTCCTATAACTGTAAATGAGATGAAATTGATTAGGTTCAGCCTTGATGACAGATCTCCGGTCCCCCGTGACCACTTCATAGTGTGCAGTTCTGGTTGAAAATTATGAGAGCTATAAATTTGGCACAGTACTTGTCAGAATTTTCTCACATGCTGCGGCAAGACTAGATGCAGGCTTCAAGCCTGTCTCATTAATGCAGGATATTTTTTCCTCAAGTTAATTTGATTTTCGGTTTATATCATATCACCAAAAAATACAGAGTAGTTAAAATATTGATTCCAAATCATTTTCCTTTGAACCAGGCAGGGTATTCAATTTCCTTGTGTCAATCTGGAGTTGTTATTTTGCGGGCTGCTGTTAGATTTTTTTTTCATTATTAAATGAAGATGCACTACAGTTTTTTCCTGGAGTGTTTTAGTGCGCCAGATTCAAACTATAGGTTTATGTAGGGAAAAATGATGAATCATGATTTCATTTGCCTTTTTTCATTTCTTCAGAGTAAACAAGGTGTCTAAAAACAATTGTGTATTTTACAAGAAATTTATGAAACGAAAAAGTAAATTTTTTCCAGAAAAAAAATGAAAACATTTTTATTTACACTAGGACATTTTGTTTTATGTTTTTTAAAGCAACCATTTACAATAATTCAAATAATTTAGACCTTTTTAGCTCACCTCAACGAAGTTGGGGGGAGCTTATGTGATACCCTCGGCGTCGGTGTCGGCGTCCCAGGTTAAGGTTAAGTTTTTTGGCGCAGTTTTCTTTTTTTAAGCAATAAAATTTACTGGATTAAAGTATCCCCCCTATTTACTACAGTCGTGTCAATTCCACCTAAAATTGTCACTTTTTCCAAATTTTGGAACATTGCCAATTTCATGACCTATTTGCACTAAAACAAAATGAATGTCAATCATTCTGTCTATGCATTTAAGTAGAACTAAACTTTATTCTTTCACTACAAAATAAAATATTTGAATAATTTTTAAAGTTATAATTTTATTTCTCCTCAAAATATGACTAAAACGTTAAAAAATTACCTCAAATTTTGTTGCATAAGAGCTATTTTTAGTAACAGGCCTTACAACTTATATGGGTTTGATTAGCTCAGTAAAAATTTGTCTGATTTCCTTTTATGCATTCTACATTTTGCTCACAAAAGGATGTATTCGCTTTAACAAAAGAATTGACCTATAGGAGAGAACAATTTCCCGGAAAAAGTGACATTTAAAAATCAATCTTTATTTGTTGTTTTCTACCGTATATATGTCTATTTTTTTTAAATTTGTATTTTATACCTAAAATTTATTATTTATAACTTGACAATAAACCTCCAAAGTTGATCGAAACACCATTTTGTCCTTTAAAGCGTTGATTTTTGCATGAATTTTGGCCTTAAAGTCCATCAGGGCAGGCCTGCCCCTAAATAAAATTATGATATTTTGATAGGTTATGATGTAAGGAATAATTTAAGATAAGATTTTTTTAGGGGCACCCCTGCCCTGGGGTCGAAATTCACAAAAAACCTACAAAAAATAAGGAAACCAGATTTCCAAAATCTTCTCTAAATTTATGCCGTTCATTCTTATAGTCAGACTAGCTCAGTTGATATATGCCCTGACTTTTGCACCTTGGATACTCTCTTTTTTGAAGTCGGGGGTTCGAATCCACCTGGTACAACACTTTTCAGTTTTAAATTTCGCCTTTTCAAAGACCATTTTAATTTTTTTTATAGACTTGTGTATTTTTCCTTCAATTGTTTATCCCTTATGCATTCCCATTCTTGATATCAGAAACACTAAAGAGATATTAAATCGTAACAATCCAGTTGTCAGTCAGGTGGAACGAACCTCAGTATAAGCACACTTCTCCGAGGACAAGAATAACTCACTATGTGTTACTCAATACAGGTATTCCTGGCAGCATTGAGCTGCGATGAATTTCAATTGTATATATCCCTTAGAATTTAATCACATTGATTTAGGCTTCATATTTCAGTAAATGCACTTACTTGGATTTCATGTAGGCCTTTATAATTTGCACACATTAAAGATAAGTTTTTATTATATCTACGGATAAATAGCCTAGACATTAAGAACAGAATTTCAGAGGCAGTAGACATTACCTTTATGCACAATGAGAAGTAAAGACAAATATCAATTATAACATTTGGAGATAACAAACTCAGAAAATCAATAAAAAGGGTTCCTCCTATCTCTACTCACTGAAATAAAGATTTAGGAAAAACAAATTGTTATATGTATTCGGCCTAATGTCATTAATTAGAACGGAAATCGACAAGCTTTTTGTAGAGAATAAAACCAAGCCCGGTCCTATAGGTCAGATCCCTATTTATAATGAAGTGATCCTTTGAAGGCAATCGGAGAAACCTGCTTTCGGACAATTTTGCATGGTTTTCTCAGAGACAGGCTGTTAAGTACTTCTATGTCCTATATTGATTAGACATGCATGGAAGATGCTTCTAGTGTCTTTCATTGTACCAGTCCAAGATTCAGATGCTGCAGTTTAAACAAAGAAATGACCAGATAAATGTTTTTTGGAGCAGGTTAACATTTTTGGTGTAGTTTTTGTTGTAGGTTTCATTTCCAAGTAACTTTAAGCCCTATGTCGACCAAACTTGCATGGATGATACATCTAAGGATGCATACTACCGGGCTTGCTTCGGATGCTGAATCTGACCTACATTTTCCGGTTGAGTGAACAGGTAAAAGTTTTTGGTGCAGGTTTCATTTCCAATTAACTATAAGCCCTATGTTGACCAAACTTGCATGGATGATACATCTAAGGATGCATACTACCAGGCTTGCTTCGGATGCTGAATCTGACCTACATTTTCCGGTTGAGTGAACAGGTTAAAATTTTTGGTGCAGGTTTTAATTCCAAGTAACTATAAGCCCTATGTTGACCAAACTTACATGGATGATACATCTAAGGATGCACACTACAGGGCTTGCTTCGGATGCTGAATCTAACCTACATTTTCCAGTTGAGTGAACAGGTTAAATGTTTTTGTGCAGGTTTCATTTGCAAATAACTTTAAGCCCTATGTTGACCAAACTTGCATGGATGATACATCTAAGGATGCACACTACAGGGCTTGCTTCAGATGCTGAATCTGACCTACATTTTCTGGTTGAGTGAACAGGTTAAAGTTTTTGGTGCAGGTTTCATTTTCAAGTAACTATGAGTTCTTTAATGACCAAACTTGCATGGATGATACATATAAGGATTAAGGATGCATACTACCGGGCTTGCTTCGGATGCTGAATCTGACCTACTTTTTGTGGATGAGTGAAAATGTTAGTTTTTGATGCATGTTTCATTTCCAATTCTATGAGCCCTATAATGAGCAAACTTGCATGTACGATACATCTTAGGATGCACATTAATGGACTTGCTTCGGATGCTGAATTCGACATACATTTTTCAGATAATAGACCAGGTAAAAGTTAAGGTTGCAGGTCTATTTCCAAAAAACTATAAGGCTTATATAACATTGTATAAACCAAACTTGCACAAATGTTGCATCAAGAGATGAAAACTCTCAAATTTGCTTCAGATGCTGGATTTTGATTACATTTTCATGAAGAAGAACTAGATTAAATTTTTTATGTAGGTCTATTTTAAAATATCAGATCAGAATTGCTTAAATATTTTCATTTTTGGAATGTACACTTTTTGTTGGTGAATTGTGAGACTTTGCCTTACTTAAAGACAACATTCGTTGAGGTGAGCTCTGTAATCTCTGATTACCTATGTTTTATTTTGATAGGAAAACAGTTTGCCACATAAGAAATATCAAAGCTTCATTATTACATATTGGACCAAAAAAAAAAAAAAATGAAATGGATAAAAAAAAATGTTCCCAGCCTTGAAGTATATGACTATATGTTTTGAATTATGATATATTCATTGCATGATCATAAGGGAAATCAGAAAAATCATATTCCCCATTTCTTGGCTGAAGAAATTTTCATGTTTCCCAAACGTTCATGCAATAAATTATTATACTGAAACAAGCAAGAAAAAAAAACCCACCTAAACATTCTAATTGGGCACCGTTCTCAAATTCACTTTCAATTTTAATGTAAAGTTACTGAAACCCTTGGACAGATTAGCAATTTTGTGACGTGAACCAGGCTGTTGTGCTCTCTACTTCCCTCTGGAGTTTTTGTTCAATGAACAGTACTATGTAACTATTCCAGGAAAATGTGCTAGTTATTTGAAGAGGTTAGATATGAAGAAAAGCATGCTGACAACAGGGAAATATGAAGTTTTATGGCCCTGTAATGTGATAATCTAGAACCAATCATATAACACATTGTTTGGAATAAAATTATAATGAGGTATAAATTGATATAGTTTTTGTTAGCTCTACTGGTCAGAGACCAGAAGAGCTTATGCGATAGTAATGCGTCCGGCGTCCGTCCGTCTGTCCGTCTGTCTGTCTGTAAACAATTTTTCAAAATGCTACTCCTCCTACAGTTTTGGTCTAATTTCAATATAACTTGGCACACAAGTAGACTACACTAAGATACATAATTCTATATATCGCTTTTTGATTTCGATAAATGGTGTTGCCTTGGTTACTAAAAATAGAAATTTCTGTGAAATTCTTTCAAAATGCTACTCCTCCTACAGTTTTGGTCTGATTTCAATATAACTTGGCAAACATGTAGACTACACTAAGATACATGATTCTGTATATCGGTTTTTGATTTCAATAAACGGTGTTGCCGTGGTTACTAAAAATAGAATTTTCTGTGAAATTCTTTTAAAATGCTACTCCTGCTACAGTTTTGGTCTGATTTCAATATAACTTGGCAAACATGTAGACTACACTAAGATACATGATTCTGAATATCGGTTTTTGATTTCGATAAACGGTGTTGCTGTGGTTACTAAAAATAGAATTTTCTGTGAAATTCTTTCAAAATGCTACTCCTCCTACAGTTTTGGTCTGATTTCAATATAACTTGGCACACAAGTAGACTACACTAAGATACATAATTTTGTGTATCGGTTTTTGATTTCCATGAACGGTGTTGTCGTGGTTACTAAAAATAGAAATTTCATAAAAATGGTTTCAAAATGCTACTCCTCCTACAGTTTTGGTCTGATTTCAATATAACTTAATGGCACACAAGTAGACTGCACTAAGATACTTAATTAGAGTTATCGGTTTTTGATTTCCGTGAACGGTGTTGTCGTGTTTACTAAAAATAGAAATTTCTCTAAAATTGTTTCAAAATGCTACTCCTCCTACAGTTTTGATCTGATTTCAAGATAACTTGGCACACAAGTAGACTACACTAAGATACATAACTGTGTATATCGGTTTTTGATTTCCATGAATGGTGTTGCCGTGGTTACTAAAAATAAAAATGTCTATAAAATTGTTTCAAAATGCTACTCCTCCTACAGTTTTGGTCTGATTTCAATATAACTTTGCACACAAGTAGACTACACTAAGAACATAAAGAGATTTTAACAAGGATCATTACTCTATTTATTGCTGTTGTAAAGTTTCAATTCCCAACTGCTTAAGTACTTTTCTCTTCCTTTGCTATAAGTACAAACCAGTAGAGCTTCAGTCTCGACAGAGACTTATGGTTTCTTGCAGACTTGGTAATAATGATAAACAACTCCAGTGGCAGCCAGAAAAGGTTCATCTCTATGACGACGCCCAAGAAACCCTCCCAGACGTAGGCGGGCTAGCCTGTGGAGGCAGACACTCTATGGTGTGGCTATCCAATGGGAACGTGTTTAGCTTTGGCAACAACTTCCATGCTCAACTAGGTTATGATTATAGAGCACTGAATTATAAAGAAAACCAGGTAAGTAGGACAGCCTACAATGGGAGATAAACATTAGTACAGAATAGATTTTAGTATGTCTTAAAGTCCTTTTTTAATTTAGGAAATTAATTAATAAATGCACTTTCTGTCAATGTTAATTAGCATGCTTTTAGAAACTTGAAAAAAATAAAGATTATGCACAGTACTTTTGAGTATATATCAAATTCCATTTCTTGGTGCTTGTTTCTTTTGAAATGGTTAAATGAAAGGAATTGTGTGTTTTACTAGGAATTTTATTTACCTCCAATAAATGGCGTGCAGGAAAATCTCCATATTAGCAGAAAATCACCTAAACTCTGCCAGAAAATTACGGTGATGAGTGTTTGATTGAAAACACCCTACCCAAAATATGATATTAATCTTCAACAGCACACAATCTTTTTTTATTAAAAAAAAGTATGGTTGAGTAATGATAAAATTTGAACATCTCATTAATCTGAGGCGACAATTCTAAAATTTGTTGTGTGCTTTTGAAATGGCTATGATAAAATCATAAGAAAAAAATATTGGCATGGTGCATAAATGTTTATGTGCATGCTTCATATATTTTTTCTATCAAAGTTGTAACACCCTCACAACCCTGACCAAACATTTCCCATATATATTGCACTCCAATATTTGAGGGCACAGAATCACCATTTATGTGAATTTTACAGAATTGTTGTTCACTGTAATACTAACACAAGCTTAATTTTGTACTCTCTAACTCCTTTTTAAAATTTTGGTTTGAAATGATGACACATTTACAAAAATCCTGTTTCTAGGATATATGGTAAAAGAAAAGTTAAAGTTGATTTTCTTTAAGTATAACAAGTCAATGAATGAGTTTAAATTTCTTGAAAGAAAAGATTAAATAAATTAAGGTTTATATTTACAAAATACATGAACATTTTTATGTCAGAGTAATTTTCATCAAGTTTTCACAATTGATTGGCATTATTGTATAGATATACCTCTCTCCTTTAACTTTTTTGAGCTACAGAAGTATATACGCTGAAGTAAACTTTTCCAGTCTTGCACTTGTCTGTCTGTCCATCTGTCTGTAAACCTTCTGATTTTCTCCAGTTTTAAAAAGTCAAGACAAAGTATTTTGGGTAAATGAGAGTCAAACTTATTCCATTGACTCCCCCACCCTCTTCTACAAAGGGAGAACACAAGAAAAAAAGCAGTTAAAATGGGCTAGAATTAAACCTTAAACTTAAAAGAAAGCATTTCAACATAGTTTGAATTCTGAACTGTTTAAATCATGGTCTCCTGGGTTTTGGTGGTATGACAACTGGGGATCAAAATATTTCATGTCAAAATTATTGGAACAATTAAACAAGAGGCCCAGGGGCCACAGCGCTCACCTGAGCACATCGGCTAGGAAAAAGCACATATCAGATCAGAACTAAAAGTTTACTGAGGTGGGGGGAGGGCTTGAATTTTAACCCCCCTGGGGTTCATGATTTGAACAAACTAGAATCTACACTACCTGATGATGATTCCATATAAATATCATTAATCATGGCTTTGAATACTTGAAAAGAAGATTTTAAAAGGTTTCCCTATATATCCCTATGTAAAACTTGGGTCAGCCATTTTGGCCCCACCCTCGTCCCGGAGGTCATGATTTGAACAAACTTGAATCTACACTACCTGAGGATATTTTACATGAGTTTCATCTTTCCTGTCTCAATAGTTCTTGAGAAGAAGATTTTTAAAGATTTTTCCTATATATTCCTATGTAAAACTTTGATCGGCCATTTTGGCTGGCCCCACCCTAGCCCTGGGGGTCATGATTTGAACAAATTTGAATCTACACTACCTTAGGATGATTCCACATTAGTTTCATCTTTCCTGGCACAGTGGTTCTTGAGAAGAAGATTTTTAAAGAGTTTTCCTATATATTCCTATGTAAAACTTGGGTCGGCCATTTTGGCCCCACCCTTGCCCCAGGGGTCATGATTTGAACAAACTTGAATCTACACTACCTTAGGATGATTCCACATTAGTTTCATCTTTCCTGGCCCAGTGGTTCTTGAGAAGAAGATTTTTTAAAATTGCCATTAATTTTTGCTCTAATTCATAATTCCCTCCCCTTGGAAAAGGGCATAGCCCTTTATTTGAATAAACTTGAATCCCCTTTACCCAAGGATACTTTGTAGCAAGTTTGGTTGAAATTGGCCCAGTGGTTCTTGAGAAGAAGATGAAAATGTGAAAAGTTTACGACAACGACGATGACAACAACGACTACAACGACGACAGACAACGGACAAATTTTGATCAGAAAAGCTCACTTGAGCCTTCGGCTCAGGTGAGCTAAAAAGTAGATTCAATCTTAAGTATATATCCTATCTTAGATAAAATATATTGATGCACCAAACTCTACGCTGTGGGACAGAATTTTGTCTGTGGCATACCAAAGGGATCTTGATGAATAAAATCTTTGTCACAAAATTCTTCAAAAGAATTTAAAATGAAGTTTCAATTGTTTTTCAGGTTAAGCCACATCTTTTAAAGTTTCTGATACACAAGCCAGTTGTCCAAATTTCTTGTGGAGAAAAACATTCAGTGTTCAGATTTCAAGATGGGACAATTGCATGTGTGGGGTAGGTATGTTTGAATCTGGATGTATGGAAATTTAACTAGGGCAGAGCTATAATAGCTGGATATTTCGTATTGCAATATATTGTGATATATTTAAGTGTACTGCAATATGTATTGCAATATATTGTTAAGTTACAGTTATTCAAATGTTGTTTTTTCAATTTTATTGACCTCCTTGTATAAGCAGTGTTTGTTATAAAAAAAAGTTAATAGTTTATTTCATCACAATTTTGGGGGGAAAATGCTACCATAGACTAGCATCCATACCTATTGGCACTGTTTGGAACAAAGTTCCTGAAATATTTAATTTCATATTTTTATTTATCAAATCTAAAGCTCAAGCAGTTTATTGGTACTGGAAGACAGAAATATATATTTTTTTAATAAATCAAAATATAACCAGAATATCAATATTATTTTGCAACCTTAAATTATTCTTACAGTTTGCGGAACGTGATTTCAAAAATTTATCGGGGATTTTGAAAAACTGCTCAAACCTCAAACCAAAAGTATAATTTATCGGAGATGATATTTAATAACATTTTATATAAGGTATTTTTAGACATTATAGATAAAAAAAATCACTGATTGGTATATTAATATTCCTAATTAAAAGCTCTACAATGTCTTTATTTTATTGGATTTTCAGATCCAATGCCAATGGTCAGATAGGGAGTGGAACATTGGAGGAGGCAACAGTTCCTGTCACGGTAGAAATGTCCAAACCGGTCAGATACGTAGCCTCAGGGGCCAATCACAATCTAGTGATCACTGGTCAGTATATAGAGCATTCCAGTCCTATTATGTAGACTCCAGTGATCACTGGTCAGTTTATAGAGTATCCCAGTCCTATAATGTAGACGCATTGCTTGAACTGTTATATTATAAGGAGGAAGCAATAAGGCATGTTTGAGTTGAGTGGTTTAAGCTTTTCTTGATTACCTCCCTTTACATGTAAAAATACTGACTAAGTTAAACATAGCTAATTAAAGTACATGTGTACAGATACTGTAATAGTACAGTTATTTAGTATGTGTCACAGCTGAGGTAGTTCCAGTTCCATTGGGAGGTTTCAATGTTGTTTAAATTACATCATAGCAGGTGTGATAAGCACTGAATATACATATGGTATACATAAAACAGTATAGCTTTCCCCTGCTAGACTCTAATGATGAAAAACAGACTCATCTAAAGTCACTGATATGAAGTGTGAAATCTAATTTATTATTCTACATCAAATGGTATGTGATAGTCACATATAATATTTCAAAAGAACTGGCTTGATTGTTAAACTTTTTTGCATTTTAACGAAGGAAAAGTGCACTTAGGTTTGGTATTTTGGCCTCGAAATGACATTGTTATAGAGCAGCTAGGCTGATAGCCTGATAAAAAATTAAATTTTCAGAGCAATCATTTTTCAATGTGCAAGATTTTACTTATTTATTCATTAATTTAAAAAAAAAAAAAATAAATGGTCTTGACTTGATAATTACCGTAAAATCACATATTTTCCCATGGTCAAATTTTCATGGTTTGTGGAAAAACTCTTGATTCTTGGGGATTTTATTTCATGGACAAAGAAATGTTGAGTAGTTATGTATGTAGCATTTTACATTTCATGGTAGACATGAATTTGTGGATCTCTTAAATTCATACCTCGAAAACAACGAAAATTAACCCCCCATGAAAATTTGTAATTTTACAGTAATAGTTCATAATTTCTCATTCCGAAAAGTGAAATATGGTAAAATTATATAACAAGTTTGTAATTCATGCACTCTAAAATGAAGATAAAATTAAATGTTTGAAAACAAACTAGGATTTTTCCTCCTGATATAATATTAAGCCATATAACAAAGTGGAAGGGAGTAAAATTTTAATAACAGTGAACTCAGAGGCATGGTGTCCATCATTTGTCAGACTTTATGTTCATCTTCTAGTAGGACTATTTATGTCATATTATGATGGAGGTGATGATTTCGACTGTACGACAGGAGAGGGAGGTCTCGTGGAGAACATTTAACCTCCGAACACTCACCTTACACCTTCCACCCCAAAAGATTTGTCAACAGGGATATGTCTTAATTCAAAATTGTTACCTTTACTGAAATGTACGAGCATCCTCTGGTCTACATGCTGGCATGAAATGAGTCTTCTTACATTTTCACCTTGTTAAAAATCTCAGTATACTATTTTTAAAAAAGTTGGGTTGATGAATTTTTAATACTGTGAAATCGTTATTTTCGTTGGGGTTTAATTTTCATGGTTTTCAAGGAATAAAGAGACCCATGAATTTATGTTTACTACATAATGCAATTTTTCACATATATTAATATTGAACAAGCAAATCACTATGAACCAATATATTTTTCTCAAACCGTGAAAATCTGACCCCTTGGAAATATGTGATTTTACAGTATTACTGTAGATTGGCGAACAATCACAACAATTTTAATTTTGCTATGTTCGCAATTAAAACTTTTTTCACGAAATTAATCCCATCATCAATGTCATTATTAGTTTATAGAAAGGTTAATTGCTTATAAAAAATTTATTAATTTCTTGCAGCGCGAAATTTTAACACCGTGGAATTAAACGACTTACAGTATCTTTAATTGTGAATATAAATCTCATTGTATAGTTTACACTGTTCATTAGATCTCTATTAGAAAAGAGAGACAATTAAGTTAGCACTTATTTTCCCCCAATGCCATTTACTCTCTTCTCGTTGAAGTTTAACAATGTTTATTGTTTGAAGAATGTAACAAAGAAAGAAATATGATAGTCTGTATTTGGAATATCTTGCTAACTCTAAAATTTTCAGGAAGAGAGCACTCTAGTATTACAGATATAAGCCAAGAAATGTTTCAGTGTGAGACCCGAGAGTTCAAGTATCAGTTTATTAGATTACCTAGGAACTTTGCCTTTTATCAGAGATTAAACTGATTTGTGAGTAGAGGGTGCATTGTTAGGTAATCTTTTAGATAGTTCTGCAAAATTGCCCTCTACACTGGCTGTTCATACATATGTTTACTTGTTCACAATTCCACACATTACAGAAAACAAAAAAAAATTAATGAATCAAAATCAGGTACTATTTAAAACAGTCAATGAATTTGGGCTTTTGTATTTATAATAATTATGTAATGTATAAAGTCATATTTTTGCTGTATGGTCATCAACACCCCGCCCCCTTTCCCCACTTTTTTTAATTACTAAAGGATTTGAATGAAGTATATATCAATGTGTCATATTGTTCTTATACTGGGATTTATTTTTTATTTACATTTATTCAGTCACATGGCCCAATATACATAATATATAACGCTTAATGTAAATCAATTCCCTAGTTCTATAAGTTAAATTTGTTGAAATTGAGTTGATGCAGATATTTCTGAACTTCATTTAACCAAAAAAGAAATCTAAATTAAAAAGAAATTTATACAAAAAAAAAAAAAAACATGCACATGCAAACACACACATAGGATATTTTGTGCTCTGTACCTGATAAGTCATCAGATTACTTAAAAAAAAAAATATGGACCAAAAAAGTCCTTCAAAGATTAATGACTTCATTAAATATGAAAAATGTCACCAATAAATGGCTTAGGGAGTTCTTTTTTTTAAGTGACCCAGCAAATAAGACTTTCAGACAAAATACTGCCATTAGCCTCAAGCTGTTGGAAGGTCAAAGGTCACAGGTGGTGGATAATTTCTCCTTAGTTTCTCTGCTGATGAAGCCATCTAAACTATTAGATTTATGTAGAAGTTAATTAGGCTTTTGTCTTGGGTCACATTTGTTATTTATGTAGATAAGGGATTTTGGAAGAAATTATGACTCAGTTTCTTTAGAGCGTGCTTGCACCTTGATGTTAGAAGTTTAAATCATTGTGCAGCTTTGAGTAATTTTAACCAGTCATCTAATTTGTATTCCATTTAAATGCATATAGATAAGTTCAATTTACCATCAGATAAATTTGGATTAATTATGTCATAATAATTTGAAATGTAAAAAGAAGTGAAAAGTCTGCATGACGAAAACACTCGTCCATGAAATTGTTTTGAACAAACATTTGCCATTTTTATACAATTTTATGCAAGTTATTGTTTAATCTATAAAATATTAAAATGATTTCCCAAATTGATAGTGTCATATAAAATTTTAATATTTCTATTGACAGAATTGTTGCATTTTATTCCCAGTATGGAATATGTGTTGATAGCAACAGTACAACCCAACTCTATCAATTCTAATATTATAAGCCTTGTTAGCTTTGCCTACAAAGGCATTGCTTGACCATTGTTATTTTTATGACACTTTCAATTAATTCCAAATTAGGGACAGATTTTGATGATGGTTCTTTAACATATTGCACCTTGTAAGAATTAAAGCACAATTTCTCGTAAAAATGCCAACCTTGGAAATTTACAGTGGCATAAATGTCTCTGAAGTTCATCGTGAGGCCTGGATTCCAGGTTGCACATTTTTCCCTTGTTAGCACACATGTTTATAAAGAGATAGCAGCAAGGGCGTCATAAATTTTTGAATGATGTGGTGAGGCTAATGCACATAGAAGCATATTGTATTTTGATACATTCTGTTATATGACTCAAGGTTTTCTTCTTTCATATTTATATAATCATATCACCTTTCAAAGCTTGACGTGAAAGAAAACCTTTGAGTGTATAGTCCCGCTGTGTTGCATGCATATTTTGTTTTGAGAACATGGAAAATATTATCTGATCATATATTTTTTGTGTGCATGCACCATGGTATATATCAATATGTATTAGATTTATTAGCCATATAAAATCTGCTGACAGTATAAGTTTAATATTTATGCCTGTTATTCATGCATCACATACATAGGAATTAAGGGAAGGAAGTCCTGCATTGTCAAGATCCTCCATATTTCAAATAAGACTAATTAGATTTAAAAATCTGTTTTCTCTGTTTAAAAGTGTGAGATAATCGAAGGAAATTCCAGGTCTGCATATGAATTTATCACATTTCAGAAGTGAATGATGTCCTTTAATAGTTCTCCAATATCTTCATTTCTGCAAATCCTGGACATGCTAGTATTTTGTCACTTTTAAGTTCATTACAAGTCAAGGTTTTGTCATTACATTGTGTACATTTTGGTCTTTCTAGACAGACTGCTCCGCCCTAGGGTTTTGTTTTGTAAATTACATAATCCTTTTATACTAGTTCCACGCAAAAAATATGTTGATAATTTTGCACCGAATCCCATTTATCTGTTAAGATCAAACGGGAAAAAAGTAATCAGGTACACTTTGCTAATTAGAAGTGGACTAAGCTCATCAGATTATAAGAAAATAAAAATATTAATGTTGGTTAATTTCACTGTGGCAGCTAGATCATAAAATGGCTGCATAGCATGATTTATTAACAGTTTTGCATAACTATACAGTGATATCTGAAGGAGCTGATAAAAGGATACCTCCAGTCAATTTTTTAAATCAGAGAGAATAAAATCTGATTTTAAAATTTGTACAATTAAGAAATGAGGCCATATATATATTTTAGAGAAAAAATTAATGTAGATCAATATAATAGCTATTCATTTTAAACTTAGTTAATCTGGAACATAAGTCACATTTCAACAATTATTTATAGCTGTAAACTATAATGATTGTTTTCCCCCTTGATATATATCTAATATCATTAGAAGTTCTCTTTTTGCTTCTTTTGGCAGATGAGGGGGAAGTTTATGTGTGGGGGTATGGTAAAGCTTGTGGTAAGAACAACGATGTCCTGTTTCCAGAGAAAGTGCCCCTCAAAAACAAGAGAGTGACTCAGGTAGCGGGGGGATCCGCCCACAGTCTGGCACTGACAGGTGAGTAGTCAGAAAAAAACAGCCGATAAAATGACTTACTTTAAGTTAGTCACTGCATGGCATGTCACTTGTGTGAATAAAATTAACAAGCAATGTCTTAAAAATTCTTTACAACTGAGCAAACTTGTTTACACTTTCTGTGGAAAAAATTGGTTGATTTATCTACATAATCGTTTCAATTTATTGCACTAAATTTTCTAAATGAATTAATTGTTCTTTAAAAATATAGAGAGGTCTGGCTGACTTTCAGTTTTACAGTTGAGGCTGATTTCTATTACTTCGAAGGTGAAGAATAATAATACACAAATGGGATATAGTCCTTTTTTTTAATTCAAGGTTAAGAATAAGGTGTCAAAAATGTTGAACTGTTGCTGAAACTATATGTTTTGTTTTTTGTTTCAGTAGAGTGAAATTTTTATGATTATGGCTGCTAAAAAGTTGACTTGATCATGTTTTAGGTGCATAATTTCCCAGGTTTCCCATATATCACTCTTACATATGAAATGCAATTTTCAAAACAATCTTTTATTCATAAGCTATCAGACAGGGTCCTTCAGAGGTGACTATCATAATGCACAATACTGCTGTCCATGACATTGTGTGTTTTAACAGATAGTATTAATTAGCTTCTAGCCTTCCTCTAATGGGGAGAGGTTTGGATGTCTTGGGAGGTTAATGTAAGCAGGCTGACATATATTTAGGGTCACTGAAATGCACATCAGATCAATTGTTTTAACTCTAGCCAGGTGGAATGGTTGTCCCAGAACTTAGAGGGATATTTATCATGAAGCGCCAGTAGGTTACACCCCCTTTATGCCTGCCCATATTGTGCATAGCAGCAGGGAACAGTTTAAATTGACCTTATGTTAGAAAGCAGTTATGGTAGCTAAGTGCATGGTGACTTATACCTCTGGCTCTAAAACCATTAAAAATTCATTTGAAATGTTAGGGCATGAGAAATTCTGAAAAAAGTTAAGATATATTGTCATTTCTGCACCTTGTCTGAAAAATGATATGTAGAATTTGTCAAAAAGTTATTTGTGAAATATTTATTTACACATTGATAACTCATATACCTTCTGAGAATATCAATAAAGATTTAAAATGTAGAAGCTAGCAGGTGTAGCAAAATATTATCAGAAAATGTGTTATATGAAAGGAAATTGGTAGAAGCTAATAGCTCTCTGTCACAGCACACAAAAAGACTTTTTTGCTGAAATGAAAACCATTTTTGTTTTCTTAATGAGTACATATATGTAATAGAGCTGTTTCAGTTACATTAATTTGTATTTGTTACATGTATCTGCAATGGTTTGAAGTGTTTCTACATATTCTAGGCCAAAATAACTTTGCAGCTCAGTTGTCAGTATCAAATCTCATTAAAATTAATGGCCTGCAATTTTATAGTTTCTAGTGTCAGTCTGGGCCTTTGTAATTGGTCTGAGCATGGATACCCTAACGCATATCCCATTTCTATCCAAATTATGTCATTTCATACTTATCTGAAACTGCCACTTAAACTGCAGCATTGAAAAATTCAAAACCACCATATTGCAGTGCAAAAATTATTAAAAGAGCAGAAATTGCTTTTAATTACTGTGGACAACTAGCAGTGGATCAAAGAAGTTGTTGAGGAAAGTGCATTTTTGCATATCACCTTACTCTTCTTAAGTCGTAGATTACTAAGGGGAGATTAATGCGCACGTGGGTAAGACGGGACTGTGGGATTATTAACACTGGCCCTGCCAGCCGATCCAGTTCTGAATTCTACTCCTCGGGTTACAGAGGCATTGTCTAGGATTGCATAACATGTCAGTCCTTGACAGTTTACAGTTCAGTGTGGTTAATCCTTTAATGATCTCTCTTACTGATGCACAATAATGATTGCCGCACTGCATTTTTGGTTGACAAAGTTTTTTTTCTGTTAGGGTCAAGTAAAAAATATGCCAGTGACACTTTAGAAGGCCATTTATGGGGGGTATCCTTATTGCCCCATTTTGTTACCCAGACACACAAATCAAGAGATGCCAGAGAGTTTTTGGTATATTTAAACTTAATTACAACTTTTAGGATGCCCAACTTTAACCTGTCAGCCACTTTGAAATTGTGCGAAGTGATGTAGCAATACATGGTTTTTGTTCCTTAAATAGGTTAGATTTTTTTTGCTTGGACCTGCAACATACTGGTATTGTCCATACAGTTCATTGATAACTGTTTTTCATGGAATTCTTGGTTTCCTCATTTAAAAAACAAACTTTTGTTGGAAATTTAACTTTTAGTTCTAGCAGTTGTTCAAATTAAGTGTCAATAATCTGATATATGTTAAACTGGAGATGTTCATTGCAAAACAAAAAGAGCACTTTATTAATTTATTCAAATGTGACAAAGATGACATTAAGTGAAATATTTAACACTTTGGCTTCAACAAATTTTTGTGGCAAAAGTAACATTTTTACTCTTTGACATAAAAAACAATATCAGCTGCATTTTTCACAATTGTGCATTTAAGCAAATAAAAAAAAAAAGCTTAATAATTTAAACATTCTTTTGTCTGTCTGGATATGTATTCCATGGAGATTTAGTATTTTTTCATAAGCAAATGAGGAAGTCTACATAGAAAAGAAATGAATATGTAATAATAGATGTATGAAGATATATCCATGTAAGAGAACTGGAAATTTGTGAATGGAATCTCTTTAAAAGTGAGATAGTTAGAAAGGAGTTCCATCTTTCTAAAGGTTAGAGTCTATAACCTTGGGAGCATCTGATCAAGCCGAAGGTTGAATACCAAACACTTCGGGTTCACTTAATTCAATTGTTGATGCATTCAATCCTATATCTGTTTGTTAAGCATCACAAGAAGTGTCAGTTTGTATACCGACTTTCAGTCACCCCTATAGACCCTTGGCAAACCTGTTAATGGCCCGTGTGAAGATCAAGTACAGTTTCTGTCAAAATTTGAGGCCCATTGGGAAATTATGCATTCTGGAAGTTAACCCAAGATTGACAATGTATGGATTCAACTTGACTGTTGGAATCGTTTGTATACAAATATATGGTAATCTGATTTCTGGGTAATATCTTGGGTTATTATTGAATTAGTGTTGTTTTATGAAGTGCAAAAGAGTATAGCTAGAACCATTATAAATATTAGGGGAGAAATGGTTCTTGAGGAATATGTCTTCACATGTTCAAATTCAATTACTGTAGCTCTAAAATATGTATTGTAGATAGAATAGTGCATGTATATTGAAAATAAGGAATGCAAGAAAACTAAAAAATATATTTATCTTCAAGATGTAACAATTTTCTATCTTTTTGCATTTCTCTCTCTCTCTCTATCTCTCTCTCGATCTCTCTTCGAAATTCAATATGTGAAATTGTAAAAGAAATTGTGGGCATACTGTAATGAGTTTGAATTTAAAAAATAAATTGAGACAGGTAAAAAAAACAAAAAAAAATCAAAATAGAAATATTTCATTTTGGCATATCTTTATTTTATACTAGCATCCAGTAGATTTTTTAAATATATATAAAATCCTTTTTAGTTTCAATACAATCAGTACTTTAGTAGTGTTAGAAAATTTTCCTTTGCAGAGCCTCTGAGTGTTTGACCTGATCTGTTGAGCTTCGCACTTTTTTGACATCTATATCACCTTTGTTAATGAAGGGGAATTAAAGGTTAATTTAACATGTCTGAGGTTTATTTTTTGTATGGAACTCATCCATGCCTACAAGATCTTCCTGTTTCACAACTGAGCAGCTTGGCATTGATTAGTAAATTTTAAATTCTAAGTAGATTTAGCAATTAACTTTAAAGCTCATCTTACTAAGTTATAGAAAAGATGTTTGAAAATTATTACATGATTAATAAATACAAGAAGTACATCATTCTAGAAATGTGCTCTTGTATTTTAAAAAAAAACAACAACAAAGAATATGTTTGGAGGATGGCATATTTAAAATGTCTTCAAAATTTTTTTCTTGGTTAAAAAAAACCCTTTAAATGCATGGAAACAAAACAACAACAACTCTTAATATTGTAAGTACCTCTGACATGATGGGAAAAGGAGGAGAATTTCAAATAATATCCTTGTTTTCTGTTTCAGAGCTTGCTCTAAGTTCATGACTTTTCAGTAAAGAATGGTTTTGTCTTTGGTATACAGCCCTCTAATGTCTTAGAAGGGCCCTTGACAGCAGAATCTTACTGTAAAGATTCAAATTTTCTAGCTTTATTACACAAGCTTTATCTAGCCCACGGGCAAGTCTGTGCAGTGTTCAAGTTTCCATCCTACCGGTCTCCAGGATAATAAAATCTTCAGCTTTCTGGGAAGAAATCGCCTCCTAGTCTCTGTAGAAAATCTTCTAAGGGACCATTACAGTGTTTTAAACATCTCAAACTGTCATTCTAATGGACACTTAAAGTTTTCTTACATTGGAGCAGCTAGATTCCTACTGCTCATATTAGGCAATGACAACTAAACAGCTGCCAATTTGGAGGAGAAAATTAACACAGATGGAGAGAGATGGAAAAAGTCAAGAAGCTCATTTTCTATTCTTGTAATACAATTTGAGTACATAAAAATGTCATTAGACTTTGGTTGATACAGCACAGATTGTAGATTTTAAAGGAATGAATAACCAAAAAACGTGCTAATGAATTTAGACTCGAATGAAAAAAAAAAATTTTCTCGATCTTAGGAATTTTCCATTTAGTCCTTCAATATAGGTGTGTGGTTTACATTACCAATGTTCCATTTGTAAATAATTCATTGAAATTTGTACTGATAATGTTTTCAAATGGATTATTATTGATAAGCTAACAATGCAAAGGAAAGTCCATATTCCAATTTATCAGTATTGATAATTTTCACTGATTTTTTTTCTAAAAATCCAACACCATGATTTAACATTTCTTTACCCTATGGGTGCATTCTTTCTTAAAACTTGAAAGTACATGATTATCTTAGGGAAGTGTGTTTCAGGCTGTTAAAGCCCTCCTTCAGTCTATGAAGCTTCTATCCCATGTCTCTCTTATTTGGAGGATAATACAAAGTTTTTTTTCTTTTTTGAAAATAATGACATTATTACACTTTCTCAATTTACTTGACAAGTAAAGAGTATTGCCACTTAATTTTATTTGACATATTATAATGAATATTGTTTCAGTTTGTTATAAAATGTAAACCCCCCTTCTCCATTAAAATATATAAATAGTTAGAAGAAAGAAAAGATGAAATTTTTCTAACCTAAGAATTGATTAGTTTTAGTCTTGTAGCATTAACCACTTTAAAAACCATCTTGGCAAAAGAAAAATAAGAATCTATCCATTTTGTTTGGATTGTGGCTTTTGAAGTTAACTTGCCCAAAGAATTTCTCCATATATCACTGATCTTTTCTTCTTTCATTATTGAACTGCACATAAAGGGAGTTTCAGCCCCTCCCCCAACAACTCCCCCTATTCTTTGTGTGACCTGGCCAAATTACGTGTGGATGGTGGGAAAATTATCCCCTGAAAAGGGATCGTACAATAGTATGGGGATTGAGAAAGCTCTCCTTTTGTTGAGAAACATAGGAGCAGTTCTAGTGAATTGTACATCATGACAAGTAGAAGTGGTCAGAATGGTCAGGCCTGGCAGAAATTGGCATTTTACCTGAAACCGTTGTCCATCATTTTTACAACCACTGCATAGAAAGTTAAAATCACAAAAAGAGATACATTTCTTTGCCGTATTTACCAAATTCTACATTTGTTTTAAAATTTATAATCATGAACATGCCTGGTAATAATATAAATTTCTTAATGAACTGTATTATCGGAATGGTAATATAATAAGGATTTGACAGCAAATTCTTAACACCTAACAAATTTCATTTGCAAATTTGCTCATTATTGAAATTGTTGTCAGGGGACATGTCTAATCCACATATAAGAGAAAGTATTAGATTCTTATAACTTTCATAAAGACCATGACTCCAGTGCATAAAGCACAAAGCAGAATGGTTTTTTGAGATAAGGTCCATCCATTAGCTAATAGGAGAAGAGGACTTGATTACATAATGCCATGCCATTTATTCTCATATAGAAATGAATCCCAATTACTTTGAAATAATGAGCCAAAAAATAAGATATTTATGGGGATAGTGTCAATTTCTCTGGCATATAACAGCCATGCTTTATCTGTGGTATAGATCAGAGATTACATCATGAAAACAATTGAAACATTTAGACACTATATTCTCAAAGGAACCAGTAGGCATTTTGGGACTATTGGTTAGGTGATGAAAATAAATGAAGCTTCAGGACTGCACACATATGGTTAGAGTTTATGAAAATTTATTTCCCATTGGCCCTGTGGTGACGGAGAAAATTGAATATTATTTTTCATATGCTATCTCATTTTTCCGTAATACATCACAGTATAATCTTTCTGGCAACACTTATTCTGAAAGAAACTATCAGAAATGAGTATCAAGAAAGTACTGTAAGCCAACTTTTATTCGCGTGTGAGAAATTTTCGTGAAGTTCGCGACAGCGTCGTCATCGCAATATTTCTTGCTGCAAACCAGTACTTTAAGTCTCTCTGTCTCTTTACAACAGATCGAAAAAGGCCTGATCGCGAATATTAATCGCCACCAACTAGTTTACGCCTGCTTAATCGCGAAATAAAGTCGTCACGAATAAAAGTTGGTTTACAGTATATACTGTATCAAATTCATGAAAAATTAGTTTTAAAATGTTGAAACAGCTAGTGTATATGCATATTTGTTTTATATATGATTTTGAATGATTAAGAAAAAACATGACTTCTAATTTGACATGAAGCAGTGTGTAAAAACAATGAATAGGAGTGTATTGCAGTAATTTAATTCTAACTAATTTAAAAATGCTTGATTTCAATACATGTTCAATGGTCTTTGTGAAGCGAGGATCAGTGGAATTTAATTAGTATTTTAATGGCCACCAGGTGTCATTGTGACAAATAAAATTTATTGTAATAGCTTTGTAAATATAGCAACAAACCACAGAATCTCCCTACTTATTTAAAAGAAAAACTTTTAAACTTTAAAGCAGAGAGGAATATGTTATCTAAATCTGTCACCCTATATCTGTAGAGTATATTAAAGCCTCTCGTTAGTTTTCTGTACATGTACAAGATAATGAATAATATTTCTGATGGAGTTTTTTTTTTACTTTTTTATTGTTTAAACCACAGATGTAATTAATAATATATGATATAGACAACTGATAAGTCTTGGTTGGGTGACATGTTATTAATTTTGAAGACCCAGCCTTACTCCGCAGGGCTTTCATGACTCTGTACCAAAAGAAAGATTCCTGTGCCTTTTAAAATAATTATTCAAGCATTCATTCATCTATTATGGTGTTTCTTTGTTTGATGCTAATGTAGACATAAAGCAAAAGATGATAGCATCAAACATGGGCACTGCCACTCAAAATGCATTCAGAATTGAAATACATCTCAAGAAACTAACAAAACACTCATTAATTTGTTTATGAATGCTTTATAATTTTGTTAAAATATTCATTACTATTTTCTATAAATATTGGTTTGATATTATTCCATTCTGCTCCTCAAATTCGTTATCTTTAAGGAACTCTCGTTATAGAAATCCTGTATAATTTCTGTGAGGCATTATGATGGATTGCGTTTTGTGGCTGATGCACTGCACTGTAATTACATGTGTTGGCTAACCATTGTTGGTGATAATCTGTGAATTAATCCATCTGCCTGTAATTTTACCTCTGTATATTAATGAGAAGTTTAAATTTCTGATCCCATCTTTTGAATTCTGTGTACTCTAGGATCATACAATAGTCTTTTAATCCAGACGATATTTAAACAATTAAGATATAAACTGTGTTTGGAGGTTCAACATTGGATGCATTGATTTCCGTACTTTCTTGAAAGGCATAAACTTCATCTTGGATATATATGGTACCTGGTAAATAAAGAAGGGAAGTTTTTCCGATAGTGAGTAAGACCTTGAGGATCCAATTGTTTTAAGGAATATAGGTATTAGATATATATACAGGTTTATTATGTCATTTTTTCATGTGCAGCTTTGTTTGTTTTAGATTGCATTTATATTCTTATTTAAGTAGTTTGTATTTGTATAACTTTCCTTTTATTAAACTCACAAAAGTGTCAGGGGTTGTAAAAGTTGCCATGCATGTCCGTCTGTCTTTGTGTCGGCTGGAACCATAAATTTTTAAATAAGAAAAGTCTTGAAGCTCACTCTTAAAGTTAACAAAGTTTGGTGACAATTAAAATAGATATTTGACCTTGATCAAAGATTATTTGAAGAGGTCATGGTCAAATGGATTGGCAGCAAATATATTCATTATCATACAAGTATTTTCAATTAGAATTGCGTGGGCAATTAAGAAGTTCTTTTTCAACACCTTTTTAGAAATCCATAGAAGATGTAGAAAACCAAGGTTGATGTGTGTTAAAGTTTCAAAACTCAGATTGAAGGTTTTATAATGGAAGTTTAATGCACAATTTGTAATAACTGCCTCTTTAACATGCCCCTAAAAGAGGTTAAACATGTTGATCGTGTAAGAGCATATTTTGTTGATCTTACATCAAAGAAATTTTAACACTTTTGCTTTCTACATATTCAGCAACAGGCAGAGTGTATGTTTGGGGAAGCGGTACCGATGGACAGTTAGGGTTGTCCAAAGCCGTTACATTTCAAAGTTCTCCAAAGAAAGTCCACCACTTGCAACTAAGGAACAATGTAGTGCAGGTTGAAACAGGAGAGTACTACAGTGCAGTAATCACAGGTAACATTTTATTTCCAGATATTCCAGTTGTAAAATGAATCAACTTAATACATAGATATGGTCAATAGTGCAACTACATTCATTTCAATTTATATGTTGATTTAATTATTAAAAGAGTTATATTCAAGAGACAACTGCTTGACATCACTAAATTGTACTTGTATGCTTCTCATTGACATACTGTAGCATTGTCAGCAGCATACTCATTGTGATGGATAGTAATATCTGAAGAGCTGATTTAAATTATAATGTAATATCTTCTTTACAGACCTTTAACATACACACCACTGACAGGTCTTGGCCTTAGTATTTGTGAGGGAGACAGGGTTTCACCTCTTATTTGTCAAGTAAAGTGATGCTGACATAGAAAAACAAATAAAGAATTGTAAAATAGTTGAAGGTTAGTGGGGTTTATTGATGGAATATGAGAGTTTCTCAAACCCCTCTTGAAGATGTGTTCTTTGATTTTATCGACAGTATTATAAAAGCATTGGGGAAAAAAATATCACGGGCTTAAAATTTTTTGTCAGCTTTTAAAGCACCTTTCTCTAAGAGCAAAACATCTAATGCACTTTATTGAGTTTTTTTAATGAGAATATTGAAAATAGTTGGCTTTGATTTGATCTGGTAATTGGAAAGGATATAAAATTGACATTAAAGTAAAAGTATTAATTTTTTATCGGCCATTTACAATTATAAACCCCGCCTGAGCAAAGACATTGCTGTTATTATAATCAACATTGTATCTATTGCTTTAGACAATTCAGAATGTGAAAGTTGAACAGAAAGCCACCATTTATAATTGAATAGTCGTGTTAATTTCTGTCATTTATGATCGCTGTACAAAGTGAACATCAATTCTGTGATAGATTTGTAAACAAATATTGATAACAGATATTTCATGCATATTTGGTTTTATTTATTCTTTCTTTCTATCTTGTATTTTTATCATCCATTTCCTGCGTAATAAGGTGGTGAATTTCAGCTCGTTAATCACAAACCATCACTGACGCTGCCTTGATTAGTCAGTATCTTTTATACATCCCTCCATTAAGTAAATGCATAGAAAACCAGAAATCGCTAATCAATGGCATACCACAATGCTAATTGAGAGCAATTCATTTACTATCAATTAGTGGGTAGATTTTATCAAAGTGAAAAAAACATTGGCAAGACTAGAGATGGGGAACATCAGATTTCCAACCAATGCATTGTGCACTCTGGAACGGAGCTATTAATCATGATGAAACTATTGGATAAAACTAATAATCCCTAGTAGCTTCAGCAGTCACCATAGCTAAAGATTTTTTCTGTGGTCAGATAAAAGACTGCAGCACAAGATGATGATGCTGTAACTCTTTTTTTGCAATTCTTAATATTGAGGGATTTCTGAATTCCATCTTCCAGCTCATTTTTCATATTGGCATTTATTGCTGAAAACAAGATGGGATGTGAAAAAAAAAATCATAAATTCATTCTTTAAAATTTCTATGGTCAATGTAATTGCTTATTATCACAAAACTTGTGAGATATACTGTATAGTGGGAAAATAACTCGCGGTGTTAATATTCGCTATATTCACGGTGTTAATAAATCCGTGAATTCAAGAAACAGTGAATAAATTTTCAATAATCTCCACGTTTTATTTGGAAATTTGAGAATAGACTGCTACGATAGGTTTATGATATACATGTACGTACAGAACATGGTCGTTTCAGTAATTACGAGTAGTACTCATCATTCAATTATTTTAATTATCACGCTTAACCTTAATTCAGATAGGCAGATAATAACTTTAAAAGCTGTTTTGATAGCCAACGCTTCATGTTTAATTAATCAAAACACGTGGCCCAGGGGTTTGATTACCCGCGCGTAACTAATTTTACCACGTGTATTTGTTACCTGCATTATCATGCAATTAGTTTTTATCAACATTTTGGTTTTAAGAAATCATTCAAATAAATATCGAACATACTGAAGATTGGAAGGATATCGTTTCGGCGAATTGCATAAACGTATTTATTTCCGTCCAGTAGTTTTTCGCGGCGTTGTATTGAAGTGGGTGCACATGCACTCATCGTAATAGCGTATAGGAAAGTCATTTGACGTTTAGAGTGAAGGACTTTTAATAACTGCACTTGTTTTAATTAACTATTAATTAATTCTATCAATTTTATATAAACCTACCCTTTTGTTCGTGAAATAAAAATAACGCTGATGAATGTCGTATTAAACGAATATAGGCAAGGGAGGTAACTTTTATTATATACCAATATCGCGAATTCAAGAAACCGCGATCATGTCAGATGAGAGGAAAACGTGAAAGTTACAACCCGTGAAATTAATCCCCTATACAGTATTCATTCCGTAAATGAGTAAAACCTTATTCAGATTTTTGTTTACCACTGCTGATTATGATTAAATCACTGAATGGATCTTGAGTAATGGTGCTATTAAAATTTTATCGATGAAATTTAAAAAAATATATATATAAAAAATGGTAGGGTTTAAATACCTTTTTATTAAATTTTTATTAAGCTAATAATTTTGTGAAAGGATGTTCTTAGCAGAACATTACTCAAAACGCTGAGATATGGACAAAAAAGGCAATTCTAATAGTGAACATAGAAAGGTATGAGAACTTAATAAAAACAACATTGTCATTTTTAGAAGCAAAACATTTTACAAGGCATATTGCTTTTGACTATGACTTGTTTTGATGGAATGAATGTATATATGCCATTATACAGCAGTTAACGGGTGTTTGAAGACCATGTAAAGGAAAGTAATTGAAATTTTATTGGCAAACGTTCCGTATGAATAACTTGTTTTCTTTTTGAATATTGGAAAAAGGTGAATGTTGATGTAATATAATTAAGGGAGAAAAAAGAAGACATTGGTTTTCTTTTCAGAAAATGGGGATCTTTTTTTCTGGGGGAAGAACAGCCATGTTATTAGACCTGATAAACCATCCAATTCTAAATTCTGGTTGCCATTTCACATCAACAAAGGTCTGAAACCTGTCCGGGCTGTGTACTGTGGCTCCTGGCATGCAGTTGCTCTAAGTGGTTATCCAGGTATGTGCATTTGTAAGATATCACAAAATGCTACCTTATTCTTTCTGATATGTGTGTCCCTTTCAAAGTAATATATAAACTAATAAACAATTGTAGAATATCTCTTTTACATAAGTGTCAATTTTTCAGTAGTTCTTTTTGAAGCTGATTGAATAAATTAATTATTGTATTACTTACATTAGAATCGGTACTGCAACATCAAAATCATTTAGAAGTTTTAAATCAAGAGTTCCCAATGGCTTCTCCAGTAAATGGTGAACATGTAAGTGGCAATTTTTCTGTTTATAATGATAATCATGTTTATTTAATTTAACTGAACAGATTGAGATAAGGCTGATTTTCCTCATACATACATTTAACCAATACCTACATTTTCTTTATTCCCATATGGCATCACATTGCTAGATACATGTACCTGTATCTTCTGATTATTCCCTTTGCATCAGTTATGCCTCTTGATAGCAACCCAAGTTTAAAGTTGCCTTATGACCATTTCAAACTCTCATCATTAAAAGCAACTAATCCATGATGGTTAATTTAAATTTAAAGACTTTGGTTGTTATGTTTAAATCATAGATTCAATTTTACAAATGAGTTAGCTAGGATTATTTTAAAAGTGTGTTAGTTCTTAAATAAGTCTTGATTGTGTATTTTTATGCAAAAAGGATTAATATTGCATAATGTACATTACTTATATTATTAAAGACCCTGGTCATTAAGCTTCCTCATTATATTTGAAGTGGACTCCAGAATCTATAGAAAAGTCACTACTAGTAACAACCATACCTACATTTTGGTAAACACGAATATCTTCATGCTGTTAATGTGAATGAAATATTATGTGTATAGGAGAATGATGACACATCATCGGAGAGTGAAGGAGATTTTACGGAGTTACCCAAGATAAAATCCAACAAAGATTACACTAAAAACAAGGAATCAACTAAAATCAGTATTGCTGACTTCTATGCTGGTCAAGACATCTATTCTGATGAAGGTTTGTTAATTGTGTCCCTATTTATTCTTAATTCTTTAAACTATGGACTCAGTGACTAAAAAAAGCAAAACTTAAATAGTGTTGAACTTTTGGAAGATGACTATTGCATGACAGTACAGTTGATCTTTGGTATCTCAAACAATTTTATCTTGAGTTCCATGGGTGTATTGAAGACATTTGCACTTCTCTTTTGTTATTTTTCCCTTGATATCTTGAACCCTTCCTATGGATATCTCGAATTTTTTCCCTTTGGTCTCACCAATAAGGGCGAAACGTTTACTGAATTTTGTAAACGTTTAAACGAACAGCAGTAAACGAAACGGTACCGTTTAAACGGGAGAATTTTTTGTGTTGAATTTTTATGGCTACTTACTCATGAAAAACTATTTTAATAAACCATTCTTTCACTATAATGTAAGTATGAGTTGTCATTACTGTTTATTTGTTGGTTTTTATGACGAAAGAGTAGGAAGCGTCAAAACTGAAACGAGATAGTAATCCTAATACGATATATAAGATTGAGGGTTCCGGTTTACGTTCAATTTTTCAAAGCTCTATATTCAACATTTTACCGTTATAAGCATGATACTTTTAATTTTCTAATCAATAAATTCATTTTAGAACATAAACTTGGAAAAATAAAATAATACATCGCTAATTTTCACTTCTCGTTAATTTTACGTTTCTGGTATCAATATTTTAACAGAAAAAAATGTTTGTAACAGACACGGAGTGTGTTTTCTTTGGTAAATATGAAATAAAACAACTTGTTTGGATTAAAGGTTTTTTTCTGATAGACATTGATATTAACCTTCGTGTAAACGTTTACTCAATTTGTAAACGTTTAGAGCATTTAATCGAAACGTCGCCGTTTACACGTGTAATCGTTTCGCCCTTACTCACCAAGTTTGATATGTCATGGTTTATGACTGTGTTTAGAAAATTAATTGTTTCAGTAAAATGCAAAACTATATTCGAAAGAGTAATGTTGAAAACACTCAAGTGTTTTGCATACTCTGTTCACGAATTGAATTTAATGTATTCAAATTTTTAGGTAGTTGACAAGGTTATAGTTTTTAAAAGTAATGCGTTAAATAATTGATTTACCAATGTATAATAAATTATTTCCTTGCAGGAGAGGAACAAAGTCCAGCTAATTTTTGTGAGGAAAAAAACGAACGTTTGAAACCTGACACAATGCAGACAGATAAACCAGAAAGTGCTAAATCTCATATTATTGTTCAAGTTCCGCGTCCATCTAACACAGTCGTAGATGTGGCTACCTCACCTATACCATTCAGTGACTCAGAATCGGAGAGTGAAAGTGGTTCTAAGACACCACAAGTTCTTGCCAAACCAGTGAGTGCTAAATTTAACAAAGTGCCTCAGATTAACTTGGAGCCAATACAAGTGGCTCCAAGTGATTCAAAATTAGTAAACAATATACATGCTACTGGCCTTAAGTCTGATAGAAATCATGCAAAAATTAGTGTTCAGCCAAAGTATTTTCCACCCCCTCTTGAGAGAGAAAGAGAAAGGACAACTTTAAGTAAGCCCCCAACAACTGTGATACAGTTGAGCAAGTCAACTGCAGACAATTTTGCATTACCAAGAGAAAACACCAATTTTTCCAGTAGACAAATTGATTTAACAGATGTAGAATATGCAAGAGCGGTTAACTCATCTAAATCTAGTGAAAAACTATACTGGATAAATAAACTAAATGAAAGTCGTGAACGTGAGCATTTAGCACGTCTTCAAAATGGAAATACTCAGTTGCGTACCATTACCCAAGATAGTAATGCTAGTCGAAATACATTCAGGTCTGGTCGAATGAGTGATACTGCGGTTGTGAATTTATATTGCTATGACAATGTATTGGATGGAACTCCAGCCAAGTGGAATCGTAGCATAGAGAGTTCTCTTGGGGACTATGGACGCCAGTTTGGTAACAGTGATATTCTGGAAGAGGCCAGAAGAGCTGCTAGGCTACCTCCAAAAAATAATACTCCCAGTAACAGCATTCCCAGCAAGAAGTCTGCTGATGCCAATTTTGTTGTAAGTTCCAAAGTTATGGTAGAAATGGATGTAATGTACATGAAATAAGTAATATAATAGTTTGATAAGTTTGAACTAAATGTATTTAATATTAACCTTGCCATTCCTCTGCTTACTGAAAGTACCCTCTAAAGGTAAAGTATGTTTTTAGAATATATTTTTTCAGCTATTGAAGGGAAAATGAGGAGAAATGGAAAGGGATTTGCAACTAGCAAAGGCATTTTGTATTACAGATGTATCTAGAATGCATGCAATCAGATATTTTGCTTTCCATTATGAATTTGGGTTAAAATTGAGGATTTGGGTTAAATAGGGACATTGCATATGAATTTTATCAGTATGTGCAAAATGTAGCAGCACCAGGCTTTTGTGTTTTATATTGACCATCATTTCAGGGTTCTTTAAAATCTCTGTGCTGCACTACAAAACAATATATATGAAAGTTTCAACTGCATGTTCGCAATCAATGTATATCAGCTACATACAAATTACTTTATAATAATGTAATCTGTAAAAGCAATACCTGTTTTTCAGGACAAAATGAAATCACTTCTAAAGTATTTTCATTTGGATTTGATACAGATTACCAATCTGTAGTTAAATATTCCTTGTATTTAAATGAAGTTGTCCATACTTGAGTTAATCAGTCGACATAAGATTAGACATGGATTTTAAAGGTCTTGGTCTTAATCCTAGCTAATGAATGATATCTGTATAGGAAACTCTTGAGGTATTCAGTCTGTACATATGCCGGAAAAAAGTCCCTATTTGACTACCCATATATTTCATCTGTATACAAAGAAATACAACAAAACTTAATTATATTCATTCTTATCTAATATTCGATCTTTCTTGCAATGCCTTTAGTAGATTTCAAAAAAGAGCTTCACATTTAGTGTAATAGAGATTATGTAATTTAGTGTTTTGAATTATGTTTCGTAGCGGTGGATGATTTGAATGTTCTTAAAGCCTTTATGATCAAACGATAATTGCAAAGATTTGTCCAACGGAAACTCATAAATGATAGATATCTATGTATTCCATAACCTGCATTATGGTGAATAGATAGAAGAAAAACAATTAACACTTAAATATGATCATTCTCTATTTTCAACTGAAAGCAGGTCTTTGGTTCAAACCTGGGCCGAGACTAACCTAAGTTGATAAAAAGTAGGAACTTTTCCTTTGCTAAGCGTTCTGCACTTTGTAGTGTAAGTTGCTGGTCTTCCAGTTAAAACCTTTATAAATGAACCCTCACTGTTCAATGGCCCTGCATGACTGTAGAGTAAAAGTTGAAATTTGAAGTTCTTCACCAGTACATGGTGACGTATTTTACTCTGTATGTGAATTAAAAAAATTCAAAAGGGACGTAAAACAATTTCAGTCTAATTTTTGAAACTTACCTTTATCTCTAAATTTGAATATTTTCATTGCTGGTTTTCACTTTATTACAGTGAATGAAGGATGCTAGATATTTGTTCCATTCATAAAAAACTGAAATGATATCTTGCACAAATATAAAGCTGACTTAAGGTTTATATACAAGAATGAATGAAAATATTTTCTACTACAATAGGTATGGAAAACGTTGAGGAGGGTAAAACAAAAACCCAGAATCCCCCCCCCCCCCATTCCCTTTTAATTCCCTGGTACTATGAATTCCATGTGTGCAGTGCCTGTTTTAAATCTCACTCCATGTCTGACTATTATTGGCCTTTCCGGTGTGTTAAGTCAGGGTCGTTGTAAGAAGTCACAATTGAGGAAATATTTTTGACACCAATGTGCATCAAAAGAATTTCCTTAATTAAGGAAAAAGTGATTTTGCTTTCTTAATCAGCAATGACACAATATTTATGAAATACTGCAAGTATAAGATTTATAGCTTAGATTTCATTATTTTATTTAAAACTTGTAAGGATTATTTTTCTGAATTCATTTGAAACAGAAGCCAATTATCTCGGGATATTTGTTGCGGCAAAAGGTCTGTCCCTTCGTAATGTAGAGCTAGTTTATTAAAAATATGAAATTCATTTTTTTTGTATTCTGTCACTTTTTTAAATATATATTTCTTACCATTGTTTAGAAGTTCTTGTAATATTCTTTGTAACTAAGTTTCACATAAATGTATTTCTAAACTCTTCTGAACTTTGTTACAACTCTACTTACTACATGATATATTCTAAAGTATTAATTTGACTTTTAAAAAATTTTCAATTGAAAAATTGATTTATATCGCAGTTTTCTTCATGCTTTAACTCTCTCAACAGTATAATATCCTTTTGTATATTCATTCCATATATAATTTAAAATTCACCGTATAGATTGAAGAAGCAGAAGAAAACTTTATGATACCGTACATACTCGTCTGTAAGTCGGTTTGCTTTCAAGTAGGTAGTGTTTCTAAAGTTTTTTTAAAGGAATTTGCCATTGATATATCCACAAGTCGATACATTTTTTCCCCCCAGAATCCATTCCTAATTTCAAAATTTGATATTTTTTTGCATTTATCTATGTATCCAAGTAGATATTTTGGATTTGATTTGACGGGAAAATCTGAATTTCTAGGACTCACAAGTCGGACTTCGATAATTTGACCATAAACCTAACTTCTAGTCGAGTATATATGGTATATTATAATAATGGAAGTATTTGTTCTGTTACAGAGTTTTTGTGATCAACGCTTTTGCTTAATTCTTTAGCATAGAGTTTTATTTATTTTGATAGATTTTTCGAATAAAAAAAATACGAGCATTTGTTCAATACTCAAAAAGAAAAATACCACTTTTTCCTAATTAAAATTATTACATGTATTAGTGTAATTAAATTTTTCCTCATGAAATTTATAATGGTAATTTTTTTTAAACTTTGTATAAAAATATGTATATTTCTGTGCTTTTAGCTCCAGATCTCCCGCAATGACACAGTCATTGCTCCATTGAAAATACCCAAGAAAACCGCAACTCCCCGACTCAACCTAATGGAACGGTATGCAAGTGTTCATAATCCTGCATCAAGTAGCAGTAAGTTTCAGGAAAAGAAATCAAAGTTTGGTTTAAAGACCCCCCGTAACGTTAGTATACCGGACAGTAGAGGGGTTCTGAAAAAAGAATTGGAGGAAATATGCATTAAAGGTGAAACAGGACCAAGAAAAGCCATGTTTTCAAGTGCCACTTCCTGGAAAGATAAGGGAGATCTTGCTCGTATCAAGGTCTTGACAAATGGAAATATTAAAAGCAAGACTGATTCAATAATTTCCACTGAAACATTGAAAAATAAGTTGAAAAGTGAAAAGGATGCAGAACTAAATGGACAAGATAAAGAAAATGAGATAATTGAAAACAGTTCCTCTAAAGAAGGTGAAGAGGAAATGATAGAAAATAATTATTGCATAGAAGAGACCATGTCTGATTATGGAAGAAAGTCGGTAACCCAGTCGAGCTAGAGCATGGATCGGAGCCCTTTACAGGTTTTCCGAGCCCGTTCTGCTTGTACTTGGTCAAAGTGGACTCGCTCGCCTCCACTAGAAAAAAGGCTTCAAAAACTAACACTGTTGTCATGTAATAAAACTCTAGGCCATTTCTAAGCTTTGCTGGCATTGTTATCTAATATGTTGTGCATGTATTAGTTTGTGGATTGAGGCTTATAATGTTTAAAAAATAATGACGCTATTAAAAGTTGTTTGTTGTGATTACCTTCTAATGTTGTTACATAAATCCAAAGCATGTTCACTAATTTTTAACCTGCTTTACATGCAACGAAAGATATATACATTATTTATTTAAATATTTGACAAAGAGTTAAGGGAGGTTGATATTTGAAGAAACTTGGTAAATTATTTTGTTAATTAATGTTAATGTTTTCGATGACAATGAAAAAAAAAAGATAATAAAAAAAGAAAATTGAATCCGGGTGGCATATAGAAGGCATAAATTTATATGTTCTGGATACTAAGTTGGGAAATATTGCTCTTTTTATTGGACTGAATTATTATCGTCAAATTGTTTTAGAATACAGTATACGACTTTCTTATGCTAGGGAGAAGTCAAACGATAGACAAAGCCTTAGTAGCTAAATTGTAACAAAGGAAAATTCATTTGAAAATCTGAATCGAGAGAATAAAAAAAGCTGTCACTTTTGTTTTCACCATGACAATTACGCACGTAATTACGGTTAATACTAAGTCAGTGGTTGTAGCGAAAAAGAGGAAAAAGTAGCTCGGTTGATGAAACTAGACACCTCCAAGACATCCCCAATCCGCAAAATTAACATCGGATCAATAGCAGCCTGAAAAAAGATGTTAGAATTTAGTAATAGCAACTATTGAATCTTAATTGCATGCTCGGAGACATAGTGCGACCAAGATTTTCCTGTACTTGTCTTAGAAAATTAAAGACCACGTCAACAGCATGTCTTGTAAGAACGTATTTTAGCCCATGTCATTTCCTTTGTTTCCTGCTCCGATATTTCGTGTCTTGAAAGTTCTTTTGTATTGTTTTTTGAAAAAGTATATTTCACTTTGTTTTTTGAAAAGGTATATTTTCATTTTGAGTTTATGCTTTGCTTGTTTACTAATTTTACTGGAATAGTTTATATGTACGTGTATTTAAATAAGAAACTTACATTGGGGGCTGCCTAAGATTATCTATTTTCCCGCAAAGCTCAAAAGTCGCCATATGGCAAATTATAATTTTTAGATATTATTGTAACCTAAAATTCCACGTGCTTGCATAATCATATCGACGAAGGGATGGTCGGAAAGAAACACGCGTGTCTCGCCGCAACCGCAAACCACACGAAACATAAAATTGTCTTGATAGTTGAATTTAGGATATAATAATGCCTTAACCAAAATAATTACAGTGGAATGGCAATGTATTACCATTGACGGTTCGTACTGTCTTTATAGAAGAGTTCATTCAAGTTTTGAACAGTAATCCCATTACGGAATTTTTTTCCATATTGTCAGTTTTCAGTTGAGATTGGTTTTATTTTGCTTTCTTCAAGGGGGAAAAATCAATCATTGTTGAAAAAAAGTATCTTAATTAACAATCTCGCAGAAACTGAAAAGTATCAAAAGATCCCACCTCTGTTGTCTTTCGAGTAATTTACAACTTAGAGCTCTCATTTCCCAGTTTATTTGATGAAATATAAATTAGCTTTTAAAAAAAGATGATGCAAAGATTTTTAATTAAGGCAGATGGAGATTTTCAAAAACTATTTATTCCTAGACATATTTTGTCGGAATTTTTTAGAGATGGATTTAATAGAATTGCGAGATGAATAGGTTTTCCAAAGATGGTTATGAAATGTGATAGGCACTAACAAAGACAACACAATACAAGGAACAGATGCGGTTTGAGTTACACGACTTCTTGCGAGAGGATTGCTATTTTGAGGTTTTATTTTAAAGATAACATGATTATGGTGTTGCAATAAATCAATGATTAATTCGGCTCTATTCAATCGTTCAAAACAACCCCTCATAATTTGATGCCAATAAAACTATTTCAGTCTTTCCTCATCGTGGATGTAGATCTCGATGCTTCTCTTAATATGTCATGATGTTGGTTAAAATACAACTTGCAAAGGAGAAAAAACTTAAGAATTGAGGTTATGTAATTATTATTTTAAAAAATAGTTTATAATGGGCTTACGTGGTGTGATGGTTTGTATATGACGTTTGAAATTGTAACATGCATATACTAGTACATGCTATACCGTAGAGTAAAAGTCTTGATGTGTTCAGAATGTGCACAATAACAAATTACTCTGTGATTGTGCCATTTCTTCTAAAATTGTTGGAGTGAAAAACGATGAAGATAAATATTATTGCAGTTATTACTTCATTAACAAAGTTTAAAAACCTTGAGTTGCATTGATCACATGACAAGAATGCTCCAATCGTTTGCGTTGCCCACCTTCCTTCTGTAGTCAGTATTGTTTATTTTGTAACTTCTATGAGATATATCGATATACATTCTCCAGTCAGAGTGCCTTTAGATGGTGTGCTTCATTTCTTTGTGTAGCGTATCAAAGAATGAATGGAAATGGAAATTGAGCAGATGTGAAAATTTGACACTGAAATAACTATTTACGAAACATTTCAATTACAAAAATCTCGCACAAGAACAAAGCGTCTTGTAAAATAGCAATTGTAGAAATTCACTGAATGTATGAGGTGCTGAATGTCTGGTCAAAGTGGAGAGTTAAGAGATTCTGAACAATTGGAAAGGGAGAAATAATTCAGGTTATTGTGTCATTTGATATTTCTAAGAGAGTATATACAAAGAGTCTCCCAAGTGACGTAAAAGTTAATGAAATTAAAGATACCCATTACATCACCGTCTGTGTACATCTGATATTTGAAAGAACAATTTTTAGTACGACTGTTAGTGTTGTTAGAACATCAGAGAAATTGATTATTATGAATAAAATATCGCACGCCTGAAGATATCAAATGTCAAACTTTGCTTGCTTGAAAATTTAAATATTTATGTCTGAAATTGAGTTTTTGTTTCTGTAGGGAAATGTTTTAAATATTGGATGGGATTGTAGGATCCTCTGGGTGAAGTATAGAGTGTGGGTGACTCCTTCATTTGAATACCTGTCATTTCAGATGGGAAAATAGCTTCAATGTAAAGCACTGTCTTTTCAACGTAGAGAATTATGCTTAAAAACAGACGATAAGTTCCTCAAATATCTGTCATGTCTATATCTTCGTTATACATTGTATATGAAAAATATACAAAAGATTAACTACGTTCTGATTTCTTAATAGGCTTCCATTTGTCCTTAAAATCAAAACACTGAAAAAATGGTGAAATAAATGATATTGTCGAGTGAAGTATTTATAAGATTATAAAATTATATAAGATTATATAGCAAACAGCATCCTCGAGTATCTTGCACAAATGCCTGGTAAGGTACTTTATTCTTTTATAAACAAACATGTCAGAGTAGCAATACTTCAATGACAAAATCTTGGAGAACATCGTATATTAATGGGGAACGTGTTATCTGTCCTTATTAAGTTGGTATCCTTCAACATGTCACCATGCAATAGCAGTTGCGTTTTCACGAATCCATATGGCGCTTGCTAAGTATATTTTATGCTGTATTAGGTACTCAATGCTGTAAATTGTTGGAGGAGCAAATTCAACCTTGCAGTCTCTCTTATGTATACCACTATCCTTGAATTCCTGATGCCAGCTATTTTCAATTATTGAAAGTCTATACAACGAAGACAAAATATAAACGAAGATGATGCACATTTAAGTTTTTCCTGATCAGTAATAATCTATTTAAAAAATTAGATGTAGACTTATTTTTTTTTTGTTTAACTCTTTTCTTTATAATAACATATGAGGTGTCGAAACGTGAAATACAGCGTTTCTTACTAAATTTTTGGGGGAAAGTTGAATTGTTTACCAGTCATTTATGGTTTTTGCTTTGTAGCGTTCGTATATTTTCATTATTTTGTTTAATATTCTGTATATAGTAACGAGTTCATCGCTATGCTTGACCATATGCACTCACAAATAGCGCGACAGATTTAAAGGTTACCTACATAACAAAAAAGGTTAAAAACGATTGCTGGTTTGTAATGCTGCAGTTCAGACTGGGTATAAACCGCTGCTGACCAATGGTCAAGCCTATTCATCGTCTATAATCGTTTTCCAGCTACATGAAAAATACTTCTAAGACAATGATTGTCGAGTGGTGACTTTTTTGACCTTCTTTGACAAGAGATCATTTTCGAGCGCGTGCGTTATGACGCAGATGGAGAAAATGTAGAAAATGGAAACGAAAATTTCTGGCAGAGGCTTTCTCACCGACTTGATCGAAGATAAATGACCGCGAGAGCATCACAAAACACAATAAGCCTAACCATAAAAACATGTTTCACATGGTCAGTATCGCAGCAAGGGGCGTGATGGTCCTTGGGTCGACAGCATTTGGCCGGAGACCTTTGACCAGTGGACGAAAGACCTATGACCTCAGCTGGTCACCGAACAAAAACTTATCTTGACCATGGATTATTTATTTTGATTAGTAAGAGAGTTCATGTGATCGGGTTTGAGGAGGTTAGAAAGTTCATAGAGATATGACGGTGAATGAATAGATGAATTTGCAATGATGACGGCTAAATTAGAAACCATATGACATTGGTAGAATAGTTCAATGCTCCTTGGTAACACTGACTTAGACCCATGAAAGTGCCATGTTATGTAGTTTTCTTTCTTGAAGTTTGCGACAATCGTCTCTCAGATGAAAAAAAAATGAATGGTCCTGAAAACAGTAATATTTAGATTTATGTTCTTGCTCTAGAAATTGACATGCAAGTCTTTTGTATCAGCAATTCTGTTCATCATCTTATATTGACAGTGTTTTGGTCTGATTTCTGCAGAATTGGGACAATATTCAGTTTTTATAAAAGGAAGAATAAGTCCCTGTTTGCTTATGATTCAAATTTCAGAGACTTGTGATTACTTAGAATGTCTTCATGAAATGTTGATTACTAGTATCTTCATTTAAAAAGTCTTAGCTTGAAGAAACTTTGATTTTAATTGTTTCTGTTTTACTGGCATAAAACTTTTTGCCATTTGTCTTTCTTCTATTGAAGTATGTGCTTTGAAACTTTATTCACCTTAAATACATGTAAATTGTACCACATAGATAACGCAGAGCAGTTTTCAAGCTCTATCTGAGCCTTTAATCAGCCAAAATTAAAGTACTCAAAGTCCAAGATCTATACAATTAATTCTGAGTCATGACCCGTAGGTTCTCTGGGTAGAAATCGCTTCCCACAAACAATCTGGACCAACAAAGGGGTATTCTATTTTATTTGCACATTTCACACTATTAAATTGCACTATATGCCGGCATCATTTGTTTTGGTTTGCCCTCGTGTTGACATTTCGGCCGGGCCACGTCTTTTAGTGACCACTAAAAAACTGACCAAAGGCGTTGCACCAAGAAAAATAACAAAATAACACTAATTTTATACCCTGCCCTTCTTTTGATTGTGGTGATTATTGCCGTTGAAATAAACCTGCTATAGTTCTGTGAAGGGTGAGAAAAACAATTTTACCTTGGCTTTTCATCTTTTTCATTTGTTTAAGATTAAGTTTTTGAAATGTTTATGATCGAATGTAGGAATTCCCAAATAAAGAGCTGTCCCTATATAAGACAAGCATGATGTGACAGAAATTTAACTGATTATGTGTTGCGTTTCCTCTTGAATATAAAATTTTCACTTTGAAAATGCGGTATGGGTATATTAGTAAAGGCAGTCTTTTTTTTTTAAACCTTAATTTTCTCAAAACAAAAAATGAAATAGATTGACATTTGATATAGAATTTTTTCTTGTTTGAGGAAAATACTATGATAATGGCCATAGGCTTGTAAGTGAGATTAGAGTATATTATTCCCTCACTTTGGAAATTATATACATGTATATGTAATAACATACATCGAAAGCGGAACCTGTTAAAGAAAAGTGAAACCAACCCTGCAGTCCAAGATTTAACTCATATTAACAGTGTTATTTTCAGTTTGTGAAACTTTTATTGAATGACCGATTTCTATACCTTTTTACCTATGTAAGCTGACAAGCATAAAGGATTTAAATCAGATACGATGTTTTGGTCACTAATTGATTATGATTGCCTGTCAGTTCTGCTTTCATAGAAGCCACTCAAGACGCTGAAAGCTCGATTAATTTCCGAAGACATCAAACATGATTTCTTTTGACCAGAAAGAATTCAAATCGGCTCTGAAATAATCGCAGTTCGAAAAATTTCGTGCAAGTGATACTCGTCGAATAATCTTCCCACAGTTATCAAAGCGATGACCGGTGTTTCGGACTTCACGATTGAATTGCTTTTTCTCCTGACCGGAACTGCAGATGCATCGGACTGACAGTAGGTCAGATCTGACCTTAGACCTAAGATTCAAAGGGAAGAATTTAATTTTCCCATAGATCTCCGGACACCTCGTATTATTGAGAACACTGTATGACCTGTCAACGGATACTTTAAAGAGAGCTGATTTTTTCCTCTTTCTCT